TGGCAAAATTTCAGGGAAAATACAAAGTTAGTACCAAATATATAATATATTATATATAAAATGTGGGTGTACGATATACACATATTCTAATGCAAAAAAACTGCATTAATATGGAGTTAAATTTGCTGACATCCATTCCTACATAACATAACCATTAAAAAACAGGTGTAATCCTGATCTCTCACACACTTTAGAATCACTTCCTCTTTCATACATAATAGTTAAAGCAATATATATGCAAGTATGACTAAGAAATCAAAATTCACATAGTAATCTGAACTCTGACCACAACAAATAGGAATTTTTTTTCAGTACATGTAATTAAATATATTTATATTTTTACAGTATTTTTAGACCATTCCTGAAGAACTTGACCAACCAGGTCCTCAGGTGTAACAGAGCTGTTACATCAGCAGAATTTGATCTTGTAGGAACACATCCAGTGGCCCTTGAAGTCAACACGAATCGTTTGTCTTCAAAGGACGCTGCATGAGGCCCGAACAAGCTCTGGAAGGATCACCCTGCTAACGAGGAAGATTTCCTGATGACATCAAAGCCCCTACCTCAGGCTTCCTTTCCTACTGCCAAAGGGAAGGACTGGCGAGCAAAGGGGACGCGGACTCTGGGCTCTCTGGGTTGTTGGCTGGTGGCGTTGGGAATGACTGCGCACAGCCCCAGCACTGGGGAGCGGCAAGGTGAGCTTCATGGCACGTTCTGTACTAAGGCTTCTCGTGGAAAGCGGAGGAGCTGCTCCTCCACGCTCATGGCGTGGCAATTCGGCCACCGTGGGTCTCGGAGGTGAGCTGCCTTGGGACCCCAAGGCGTTCGGTACTTTGCAGACAAAGAGGAAGACGGTCCCTGTTCTGAAGGGCTCGAGCCTATTTCTTACTCGTAGTTTTTACACAATCTCCTTTGTATAGACACGTATTTGCTACATAAAATAGAATTACACCAAAGTAATGGATATAGCAGAAAACATTGTCACAATATATGTATATTACCACACTAAATAATTACTAAAACTGCAAGAAAAATTTAAAAATGCCCTTTGTAATATATAAAAATATAGAAATGTCCAACACTTGTTTCATCAACTTTAAAGGTAACTTTCTCTCTCATATTCTATCTGTACACCTACATATTTCCAAACAAAATACTGCGTTAATCTGGAGTAAACACCGTGTTAGGATAATATCCTCATTAGACATCAGACAGACTTAGTCATCATACCTTACAGCACAGAATCACAAGAAATAATGCATACATGGTCAGAGCTGCAGCTGCTAAGTTGTTTTGTGTTGGGTTTGGTTTTTTTCTTATTCACTTATCTTGTCCAAAAGAGGAAGTAATTCCTAAAGATTGTGAAAATAACCTTAACACATGACTTCCTATCTTTTTTGTATATGCTCTGTAAAAAGGCTATCAGCAAACTTGACTCCATCTTAACGCAGTTTTTTGTGGTGGAATTTCTTCTGGATTTTTTTTTTTTTTTGGAGTGTATGTGAATTTGAAATAAAGATATCATAAATGAACTTATGTTTATATTAAGTAAATACTGTCAAATATAAATGCCTGAATTGCTGCCTCAAGGAAAAGATGGGAAAGATCTTACAATTAAATTCCAAAAACACCTAATTCTATCTATCAAACTGAAGGACCAAACTTCTTCAGGGGAAATAGGAGATTTTCAGATTTAAGTCCACTATTAGTTCCTACTAAATCAGTTTCATCTCATTTTCAGCCATTAAATAAATTAGTACAGTGCAGAAATGGAATTTCACCATTGATCCCACCTTACACAAAGAGGAGAATACTGCTTAGAAATAGAGGTCCAAATCAGATACATCATTACATGCTCAAAGTAACTGACATTAATCAGAACTTCCATTTTTACTTCAACAACAGTGAATAAAGACGATCTGCTCTCTCCTGACTCTGTCTCATTGAGAAGTGGTTAAATATAAAACAAAAAACAAGGATAGCTAGATTTGGAATCAATACACACTGTTACAAAACCAGCAAAATCAACCGCTGGTCTGTCACCTGCAAAAGAGCAGCCCTGTTCCGGCATTGGTTTGGACTTTGAACGGCTTACACCTTTCTGTGGCCCTTTTCACACCCAAGCCCTAGCCAGAGGTGTAAACACACACACATAAAAATCCAGACATCTAGGGGGAGGGGGGAAAAAAATCAAGCAGTTTATGATATGAAATGACTATTTGAACACTTAAGATTGCTATAAAAGTTCTGTAGACTTAATAGAAACAGGAATTCTGCTTCAATGCACACCATTACATTCAACCCCTGCCATATGCAAAACATACTTATTGGGGGAAACAAAAAATGTTCTAATGAGAGTTAATGTTTTCAAAATGGTCTTTTTTATATTGTTTCATGGAGTCACCAAGAAACACCACAAACTTAAAAAAATTGGTCCTCCTCTTGACATCAATTTGAGAAAAAAAAAATATTTTCCTGCCATAATCAACGGATTAAATTCTCACTAGCTGTATTTCTAGTAAAATCTTTATTATGTACTTTTGGTCACTGTTTCATCTTTTTTACCAACTCAGTGTTCTTTTTTAAAAGATACCTTAATGTATGTCTTTCCCAAATCACTGCATTGAAGGAAAACCTACAGTTAAAGGCTTTCCCTTGTCAAATGTACTGGAAGGGTAGCAGCCAACTGCATGTTATGGATGGAACGCAGAACTGATGCAGATGCTACCATTTTTGCAGGACCTAGTTTATGTAAACTTAACACGTCTCAGTTGCTAAAGAAAATGGTTACGTATTTGTAGTTTCTCAGTCTGTACACCTGTGGGCCCAAAATAAATACGATCTAAATACTGTGGAGAGATTTCAGCTGAAAACTGAATCCTAGATTACAGACACTAAACCTAACATCACAGCCTTTAGAAGAGACTACACTGAAAAAATATTTACCAAGTCTCAAAGGGTAAAGTGCATTGCAACTACATCTACTTCAAGGGGCAGAAAATAAGGAATTCTAAAGATGAGTAGCGCGAGTAACAGGGACTACCCAGTATGTCTGCAGCGTACGCAAAATAAGAAAGCATTATCCCACCTGTAAAATGTAAGAGGGTAAAAACGTAATCCTGGAAAAATACGTTGTCAGACTTGTTAATACAATTAAGACTACAGAAAGTTGCAATTTCATTATGTTCTCCATTCTGGTGACCAGAGCTAAGAAAACACCCCCTATGAAGTACTGTGAAATCTGCAACAACATAAGAAAATTTCCTCAGACCATCCCTTGTATCTGAGACTACTAAGGATAGCACACAGGACAGTGCACCAAAACTAAGTAGGGATTGTGGTAATTTCAGCAGGTCACCTAGGATCTACCTGAAGCCTCTGTTTCCCTAGTTATCAATTAAGAATATTACTTCCCTGCCTCTCAGGTTTGTTTTAAGGGTCCAATTAATTAGTATTTCTGAAACACCCAGACTATATAGATAAGGACCAAATATTTCTAGGCAGCTAGCTCGATCAAACACCTCGAAACACATGCTGAAGCATTAGTTCGACTCACAAATTTAAGTTAGTTATAAGCTAAGAACAAGAATCACACCAGTATCATTAACCCAGTAAGTATTTTGCAATATCTGGTAATTTCTCTTCAGAACAGACCAAGACTGGTCTGTAGCATAAGGTGAGGCAATGGCAAAGATGTGAAGGAGCATTAACACTGCAGACCTGTAAAACCTCTAGCTCTAGGTAGTCATTACCTTCTTGAGTACCAAAGTCTCCCCACAAGTCAAGTCTATCACAAGAGTGTGCATAGGTTGACTGTGAAATCGTTGATGAGATTTAAGTCCCTCATAATGGTCTCAGTGACTCCTATCTTTTACTTCTGCAAATTATGTCCTTTGTGCATCTGGTATTTCAGTACCATTCAGTCTGTAAAGAATAATGAAAGTCAGAGTGAAAAGGTTGCCTGATATCCCTTAATGGTGTGGCAAGACACGTTATTTCAGGTGCTACTACTGCTGCACTACTACACTGGAAGAAGATCAAAGAAAAAGTTAACAGAGGAACAGGAATACACTCCAATTTAAGACTGAAAGTAATTGTAGCTTGTTTTTTATAAAACTTCAATTCAAATATTGCATGAAGACCCTTAATTATTTTTCGGATCTCCAAATGGCTTTTCTTGCATGTTTTTCCTCACTCACAGTTCATGGGTTATTTTACATCACACCAGTTCACACAAGTGTCAGTCCCTTTGCAATCATAGGCTCAAGAGTAATCTGTTCTGCTGCTAGTACCAAGGCGCACTTGCAATACTGCCAGAATTCTAAAATTATTCAGAGTATTAAAAAAAAAAAAACCACCCAAACAACCCAAAACACAAAAACTTTTGCTAAGGGCGCATCTGTTGTATTCAACAAAGAACATTCTACCTGGATGTACCTGTAACACGGAGCAGCCAAGTTCAGCAACTGCAAAGGAAAAGAAGTATGCTCATAGATAATACTACCTTCAGATAATTTACTACGTATCTTTCTAAATTAAAGTATATGATCAACTATGGTTGCACATTGCTAGAATGTACAATTTTCTATAAAGAACTATCAAGTCCAGTACCCTGCCTCCCGTGGAACCTGTGTCTGATGCTTTAGAGGAAGACAATAACTGCATAATAAACATTTCCAGTTGTGCAATAATGCATGCTGCTGGAGAGCTGGGATATTTCTGTCAGGCATAAAAAAGTAGAACACTGGACAAAGACAACCATTTGACCTTCACGAGTCTTTCTTTGTCAAATGCAAAGAGTAAGACAAACACATAAACGACCCTGAACAATAATTAAAGCTATGTACAAAATTTTGACTTTTAAAACAAGACATTACCAAACAGATAAAAAAGAAACACACAAATGCAAAGAAAGGAAGGCACACTGAACTAAGAAATTACAAGAGAGCCTTAATTCATACAGCCAACCTGTGAATTCCTTCACAAAAAAAAAAAAACAAAACTCTAATATTAGAGATTAAAATTCTGCCAGATTTCACAGGGAACTTGATCCACCACTCAGAATTCTCTTCTAGTGGAAGGAGCTTAAGGCTGGGTTTAGATGCGTTTATAGCTCTGATCAATGAACTTCAGTGTGACCTCTCAAATATCACACAAGTTAAGAAAACTATCGAGAATCAGAGGCCTTCTTGCCCATGTGGTCTTTAAAAAAAAAAAAAGACAAAAGCTGTGGTGTTTATTATCCCTTGAGATGAACCAACGTATCTTGTGTATGTCAAACTGAGTGAATTAATGCATTACATACATTTCATTCTGGAGGAGCCACTTCAATGAGGAATGAACAGAAGATCTGTATCTTGAAAGATGAGGTTTACCTGCTAATAATGCACATATCAAGAGGCTTTAAAAAGTGTTATAAATGCCATTAATGAGTATAGGCACCAGACCAGAATATTCATAAATTCAACACTGGCATGTCACTCAGACACTAATCAATTTAAAGAGGCACTGTGAAAGGTGGTGACGCTGCTATGCGGTAATTACTACTACTGTAGAATGAAATAGTGTTACCTAAATGAATACTTGCTCTACATTAATTCCCTTTAGTTAGACAAGTACATGAAGTATGCAGAAAAAGTTCTATTAGTCTATAAAAGGCGTTAGTGTTAAGAAATGCAAAGTACTTGCATCTTCAATTTTATAAACTTCACAAAAGGTGCAAATGATTTAACGCTTCCCAGGCTCACATAGGCAGGTCAGTACTGTTATGTCTAGTTTTCCTAGAAGTACCATCATCTCGGGGCAGTGCTTTTTGCAAGCTTGACATAGCAGCAGTTCTTTCAATGTCTATCACAGCATACAGCTCTGTGCGCCTGGTTGGAGTTTGCGGAAGTGGAGTGGTGGGGGTTTTTGGAGTCTGAGGGTTGTCGGAGTCACTACCACCTTCCAAGTCAACCTGTATATAGTTGAGCTGCCTGTGTTCTAAACTTGGACGCCTAATGTCAAAGTTAAAGACTGTTGGGGTACAGTCCCGACGTCGGGTAAATTCTACTTTGTGAGCACTTGCTGGTACTGTTACATTCTCTGTATTGACGTAATTATGCATTGGATCTAGGTTATTGTGGTAGCCATTCAGAGATGGGGTCTTTGGTCCTAAACTGTCATCTTCATCTCTACTCAGCTTGCGGGCTTCCCAAACAGGAGGCAAGGATGGCAAGTTCTCATAGTTCAACAGCGCAGTTCTCCTCTGAGCAGAGTTGTTAATGTTCTGGGTGTCTGAGGTACTGGTTGATGTCAAACGACCTCTCCTGACCCCTGAGGCACTAGGGATTGATAACCTATTTATATTTTCATACACCAATTTATTACCAGATGGTGTTTCTCTACGTTCATCACTGTCGTACCCAGTGTCCCATTCAGTGTTGTTTGTGCTGCTGCCGCTAACTTGGTCTCTCCCAAGTTGCTCCAGTTTCTCTCTTTCCATTAACTGCCTTTGAACAGGTGTTGGTCCTAAAACAAACTTGACTCCTTCAGGCTCCAGGAGAACCTGAGCATCTCTGTCATCAGTACACATCTGATCTTCTTTCACTTTAGTCGTTTCAGTGTTAGAAAGCTTTGATTCCAGTGGCGCATGCACACTTGATCGATTTTTTCTTTCCTCTTGTACCCCAGTAGTGTTGACATAAGTGTGCACCTAAAAGGGGAAGGGAAAAAAAAAAAGGAAATTCAAATGCTATTTGTGCCTTTTTTTTCCCCTCCAAATTTCTTTCCTTCTTAGCTCCCCACTTTTCCTGTCAAAATACCTGAAAACCAAATCTCATCATAGCAGTTGTTTAAGAGCAAAGGTGAACTCTCTCACATTTTGCTGAACTGTGTTCAGTTTTAGTTTTTTTCCCCTGAAATTTTTTTATTGGTTTTGTTAATGTTCCTCTAACAAAAGAATAGAATTTACCTTCGACATGAATAATTATTTTGATTTGATGTTTTATCTCAGTTGTGCTCTAGTTTCAGCTTTTCAGGTTCTACTCCAGCTCTGCTCTGGTGAGGGCAACCTTGGGCTGCTTCAGCTTACCTCATTAGTTCGCTTGGACAAATCAAAAAAGCAGAGCTCTACTTTGTTGTCCCAGCTTACCACGATAGTGACCAACAGTTGCTTTGGCTAAATTTGTCTTTGTAATTCTTACACTGGAAAGGAAATTTACTGCCCATTACAAATAAAACAAAACAAACCCAACCCAACTCAAACCTAAAAACACCTCAGGATCTAGCCTTGTGTACTACTCAAGCAATGAGAAGAGAGATTGGCTCTACTGGAAGAACAGTCTACTCTTTCTTCAAGAGCCAACAGCCTCTTAATACCGGAAACTGAAGTAAAAAAAATACACAATTCCATATGAACTGTTGCACTCAATTTAAACGGAGAAGGAGCTGGCACCAGATGCCACTACGAAAGGCAGGAATACACCACTAGGTTATCCCTCCAAGTTCCTACAATGGATCAACATAAGGCTGAATGGGAAAGACTGGAGTAATGGATTCCTTCTCCAAATTTTAATTCTGTGTCCGGATACCCAAACAGAGAAAGTAGTATTTTACAGCAGCAGTCATCTCGCCTTCCCAACTTCTCTGTCAAGCTCTACAAGCTGAAGTGTTATTTACAGCTCACTTGACTCCTACGCTGATTCTTTAAATTAATTTACTCTTCAGTAACTTCAACAGTAACACTTGGACTCTTCTGTGGGGGCTCCTAACAAATCCTTCCCCACAAGACAGTTCAGTGCACTTTGCTCTGGTTACCTTCTCCGGTTTCCAACACTGTTTCCTGTCACACACGAGAATCTTCCTAAACCACATTACATTTTATTAAACTTGATTAACATTTTCATCAGCAACCTGAATGATGAGATAGAACACACTCTCGGAAAGTTTTCAGTCTATCCCAGATTGGTAGGGTTCCCACTGACAGGGATCTCAGCAGCCTGGAGAATTGACCTCATAGAAACCTCATTAAGTTCATCAACAGCAAACACAAAGTCCAGTGCCTGCTATTGAAGACCACCAACAGTACAGGGTAGGCACCAACTGACTTGAAAACAGCTGTGCAGAAAAGCAGCAGGAGTCCACGTGGATGTTAAGTTGAATATGAGCCAGCAGTGTGCCCTCGCAGCAATGAAAACCAAACGTGCATTGGTTTGTGTTAACAAAAGCACAGCCAGTAGGTTAAGGAAAGTTATTATTACTGTCAGTTTAGCACTGGTGAGTCTGAATCTGGGCTCCCCAGTATAAGACAGACATCACCATACCGGAGCAAGTCCAGTGGAGGGCCGTGATTACAGGAGCTGGAGCATGTGACATACAAGGAGAAGCCAAGAACACCATCCTTGTTCAGTCTTAAGAGAAGGCCAGGAAACCACCTAATAGCTGTTTGCAACTACCTAACAGATAAAGAAAAGACAGAGCCAGACCCTTTTTGGAGATGTTCAGAAAAAGCCTAAGGGGCAATGGATATCAGCTGTAACAGGAAAAAATCTCATTACACATTAGGGAGAAATGCTTTCACAACAAAGGTGGTGAAACACCAGAACATACGGCTCAGAGACACTGGGGAATCCCCTTGTTTGGAGTACTCAAAGCATGACAGGACAAGGCTCTGTGCAGCTGCCTCTAACTTTAAACTTTGACCTAGAGGACTCTACAGGTCCCTTCTACCTTAAATTATTCCATCATTTCTATTTGCCAAATAGAAGACTTAACTCTTTTTACCAGGATCTCTCATTATAAAGTATGATTTATGTGTATAATAATTACTGAAATTCCTGAACAGACTATATGCAAATACATACTTTCTATATCTTTATTTGTACATAAATATGAAGAGCAACTTAAAATAGCTGCTTTTCCTCAGCAAGCTCTCCTACAAGTATCATTTTAAAGAGGCAAAGCAAACACTTTTTTGAGGTAGTTAACATATGGTAGAAATACATTACACCTGATACTGAAAAACACAAATGAAAGCCTATAGAACAAGCATTAGAAAAATGTGAATTAATGTAGAACCTAAGTTATATAAGGGGAAAAAAAAATACCCACTTGCTCCTCTGCTACAAGTAAAGGATGTGTTGATTCTTCACCAACAGAGGGGAGGCGTGCACTTCCAACAGAAGGATGTCTGCTGGAAGGATGTGATGAAGCATCTCCAAAAGATGGATATCTGGGATAGCCATTAGGTAAACTTTGTGCATTGAACCCAGGAGCTGATTCAATTAGAAAACAAGCAAAACCATATTAAAATAGAACATTTTACTGTATATGAGTAAGATGCTTTATATCTTCATTTTCAAAAGAGAAATTAAAATATGTAAAACAATATTAAATAATCACAAGACTCAATTTTGCTGGGGGGAAGGAAAGGGAAAGCAAATTGCCGAGTATAGCATCCCAGTGTTTACTGGGAAACATGTCTGAAGCAACCACTGAAATCTAGGTGTATTACACACCGCAGTCCTCCTTGTAAAACTCCCTATCCAACTTCTCTTTATACCATTAACAATATGTCTCCCTAACAAAGAGGGACTTATTTGCTTAAGCTTCCATTTCTCTGAAATCATTGATAATCTGGAATTCCTAGCTTCAAATACCAAGCCATCTGCCTGATATTACCTCAAACCCTCCAGTATTTCCGAAAGGACTTCGCTCTACCCATCCATCTAATCACAGCAAAATAAAGATTCCAAACCCACTGTAGAACTGATAGTGCCACTACTTTTTCTGCTAATAAAAAGGCTGGAACATTGTCCAACATTAACATTTCTCAGACATGCCACAAGTAAAATATGGTGATATATTATAAAGCAATTCAATAGGTGTATTCATAAGTGTTCATAACAAGCTTCCAAAACTTGTTCCTTAAAGCTGAAAAACTTGACTATGACAGTTCTGCTCCCAAGACTTAGGATTCTTGAAAGAGAATCCTCAGCAAGTACCTCATGAGAATGCATTACTGATAATGAGCATCTTAGCTTTAAATTAGTTTTCTTTTTAATTGCTTAAAGATTTAATGCAAATTAAATGCTATTTTCAGCTAAATACCACATTACATTCAGATATGGCATCTGACAGTATAACCATACTTACTGGTAGGTGTTCGAGGGGTTCTTGGAGCTTCCAACTCAGTTTGATGATTATTCCTTTCTACTACTGGTTCTTCTACCACATTTATGCTATTATTCTGCATTATCTCTTGCAACATATTAAATAGCTCTTCTGCACGGGCACATTTAAAGGCAAAGATTCCTATAAATACACAAGAAAAAAATCAAAATCCTTTAACATAAGAAACATGCCTTACGTTTTACATAACTTTCAAAAAAATAGAACTGGAATCCACGTAATGAATACCTGTTAATGAAGTAAAAATGTTAAGAAATTTTTATTGCACCAAAACACACAAAATTACTGTGAGAACCTTTAAAGTGCTTATCTAACAGAAGAAAAAGATTCCCATGCACCAAAAGTTAAATTAGAACAGAAAACTGATTCAGTTAAGACCAAAACTAAGTTTTGAGTGCTAAATGAGGAATTAAAAAAAAACAAACCACAAAAGAGGGCAAGATTTTTTTTTAAGCTGATAAAAAGGATACCTGTTAAATAAATAAATTAAAAAAAAAAAACAACACACCAAAAACGAAACAAAAAAAAACCCACCAACCACTAAATGAAACTACTGTGGTGCGACAAGTTCATATTTTTTAAACCAGATTTCTATTAAATTACCATAAAAATAAGATACCTGCACAACAGGAAAGAAGGATTTAAAAACACTGGGTAAAAGTGTAGTTTCTTTAAGAAGATTCAAATGAAAAGCTAGTAAGACAAACTGTGAAACAGACAGTAACAAACCAATTGCTTTAGGCTAAAGGATAGACAGGGAACACAAAGTTAGCAGCAATACCATGGATTTTGCGTCTGTATTGTGCCACTTTGCCTTTAAACAGCAGGGAGCGCCCCAACTTACCCTCACCAGCAAAGTCGCAGCTTTGGATTATTCTTCCATTGAAAGCATGAAGTTAAAGTTGACACGCTTGTTAAACGTGGGTGCAGGTGCTCATTTTTTAAAGCGAGTATTACAACCTAGAAACACTCTTTACTAAGAACTACCTACCTACATAGCTAGTTCTCGAAGTGCAATTATGTTAATATGCTGGCAATTACTATAATCATGTATTTATTTAAGAACACAGAACTGTGACAGATCAGAACTACCAGAAATGCTCCACATGGCAGAAGTTCACAAAAACCCAGCTGGGAATATACCAAATGGGCTAAGAGGAATGACGATCAACAATTAATATTCAGCTGGTGCAGTGAATAAGCCTCATGCTTGCAACACAGCAGCTGTAGAGCTGCTGCTACATTTCCCCAACCCCTGATTCAGCTCAAGTACAATAGTCCATGTTTAATTTTTTGAAATTTCTGAAATGTTCTAAAAATTCACACTGGATACTTAAATCTTACTAGGGGGGAAGAAAAAAAATCTAGGTTCACAAGCTTTAAAAAGCTCTCAATAGGTTTCTGAGAAATTCAGCTGCATTTATCCCTTGGTTTAAAAAAAGTGCTTTCAAATTGCTGATTCCTTAAAATATGAGATAAACCAAATTGGCACTAAAACTGCATGCAAAAACAACTTGATGAAACATTGCTTTTTATTAAATACATTCACATTAAATACAATGTGATCTGTCACACAATATGGTGACACACCAGCTCCTCCAAGTTTTCTATTCTGAATTATCTATTAGCTGCACTCCCAAATACGTCTTCAAGGTTTTTAATACCCAGCACAAACTCAATGTTTCACCATCAGTGCATTCTGACAACTTATCAATAGATACAATTTGAGATTAAATGGAAAACACAAACAAGAATGTTGAGTAATGCCATCAGTAAAAGTTGCTGGGTGGTATTCAGGGTATTCTCAAATGAAAAATTCTCGGTCATCTCACCAAGTGAAGATGAAGTTTTGCAACCGTGCCCACAAAACCCAGTGTAGGTCTCAGGAACAATGCTCCATTGCAAAAAGGCACCAGAGAGAACATTTTCTGCCAGATTTCTTTTTTCTCAATATTCACAGTATTTTAATATTACGTAAGAAAGGCAAGAAACAAAAGAGGGAGGAAAGGGTTGCTGCTTACATAGCCTGCTTAATCTTCTCTATTTAAAAAAAAAAAAAAAAAGAATTAGGAGGGAAGCAGAAAAGCTTATTAGACTCGGTGGAAAATTTTGCAGATGCTAATAGGCCATGGAAAAGAACCTTCAAAATACTATTTTTAATTTAATTTTATTAGTATCTATTTTACATGTTTAGAAGAAGCAGTAAATTAAACCTGCAAAATCCATTAAAGTGATTTTCTTCAAAGCAAAGTTTATTATTTTCTTCTACGAAGTCTGAAAATTTAGTTTAGTATGGAGTATACTGTAACATTTGAAATGAATGTGAACCATAACATTGAATTTCACAACACATGAATACATAACAACTCCAACAACACACAGCTATATCACGATAGAAAGGTGCAAAATGAGGCTGAGACCTCAAGCAAAACAGCTATTCCTTTGGGGACTGCTGCAGTGAAGAGACAGAGAAAATCCTAAATCTTCTCAGTGGAGAGCCAACCTTGACCAAGGCAGGCATGATCTGGGAACTGGAAAGGTAACCATCTTTTTCCAGTTAAAGCCACACAGAAAATAACTAAGCATAGCTGCAGTTTACACACTTCATACCAAAAGGTGTAAAAATTTGAGAATGATGTCACTGATATAACTGAAAGTGTTTTTGTTTTAGGAAGAGGATGAAACACAAGTGTGTTACTGAAGACAATAATAGGGTAGGGATATCCAGTTCATATCAGTGCTCCAGTCTTTAAAAATATGAAGTTATTTGAATTCCAGAGAGATTCCTCCACAGTTCCAGGTTTCACGACCCCTCCCTGAAAGTCAAGTCAACCTCTGAGGTAGGAGAATTTCCCCATCAAAACCACCTCCTAAGTTGACCAGAAGTATCCATACATACAAGCATGAAGTGCTCCAGACCTACAATGCCAAAAACTGTGTGCAAATCAAATCCTCATTTTACCGTAAGAACATTCCTCATAATGTAACTTACTTTTTCCCCAGAAACCACATTCACATATAAAACTATAGCATTTTTTTTTAAACAAAATTGTCTTCCAACAGCAAATAAATTTAAAAAAAACGTTATATACAAAAATTCCACATACCTTGTCCAGTTTGACACCTTCGGCCACTTTCAAAAGAGAAAAGATTTGAGTCATAGCCATAGCGACGGAGACAGAGGTAGTGCCATTTTACAGAGTCCCTTTTACGGGTGTACAAAATTAGTTCTGTATCTGTAAGTTCCATTATGCCAGAACCCAGTTCATTACCATCATCATCCACGTTAATAACCTATAAAAAGGACATTAAATAGCATTAGGTAAGTAGCCTTTTGAGCACCAATACCATTACTAATAATGTTTTACTGATGTGCGCCATCTGCTCTGTCATGTTAGTTATGATCCTTGACCTAAAAGTTTAAAACCACCCCAAATCTTACCAAACCAGTTCCTTTGATCCCCCAATTGAGAATTAAAATAATACCTATTTTAAAATACTACATATTTTAAAACAATATGAATGAGATTGCGTAACATGATTGTAAAATCTGAGGAGAAATTTAAAATAAAACATATTGGAAAGTTAAATATCTTTTTTTAAAAAATAAACTGGCTTTATGTACATATTCTACTATTTCCACACAGATAAGGCATACCTCAGATAATGGAATCTTTCAGAGCCCTGTTTCTAAAAAAAAAAAGTGAAATATTTGCTTTGTCATATAACCCCACTTACAGTTGAGAAAAGGAATGAAAAAGGATAAGGGGCTCCAAGATAAAGCTTCCTTCACATACCTGTATAGCCTTGCACTGTGCTGAATCATCAGACTGCTTTAAATTTTTTTTTTCCTGCCTTTTTAAAGTCATCAAATAATTCAAATACGCTATGGTAACTTGCATGGAAACATGTGCATAAAGCTTAAACTCTTTTTCTTTCTGCTTTTAAACCATTTTGAGGTCACCTGCATTCTTTACGGAATTCGGACAATGTATATTTTCCTCTACATGTATTTTACCTCACAATGCTACCTTTAGTGGGATTCTTTCTTACCCAATACAAAGGCTACCAAAAAAATCTTCCCTATGGTATCCATTAATGTTATTCCTTAATGAGACACTTTCAACTTGAAATCTAGTCAACTGAAAAGAATTAGGAATAGTTTCATCTGCCACTGAGGCTTACACCAACTTTCTTCATTTTGCAAATTACATTCTTTCATCTTCTCCCCTCTGCTGCTAAATCAGCAACCCACACAAACAATAGAGAATAGAGAAATTCTATGAGGAGAAAAATAGGAACTAGTTACACAAAGTGATGTCAAACGTATAAAACGCAAGAAAACAGAAAAATATTGTATCCTTCAGCTTTTTGTACTGATAATATTAAACATTTCCAGAAATTCCCATGGCTTTAAAGCTCATTTTGGTGTTGCCCTAAGGCAACGCATGAATCATTTTCACTATGGAAGCATTACATTCCTTTGCCAACTCACAAAGACAGTTTGGAGCACAGAAGCAAATCTGATTCGTGTGACTATGCAAAGGTATGTTTACTTAAAAGTCACTGACTTCAGCAGCTTCATGTTAAGCATGTTAAGCACATGAACAAGCGTTCACAAGCTTATAAAATTCCAGAGGGACAGAAACACATTTACAAATAAAATTTCTTCAAATAAAGGACAAAAATTCTCAAAATGCTATAATCAGTAGTAATCTTCAAGTAAAATCAATCCATTGCTGATAAAATTTTGCATTGCTGACTCCGCATTTCAGTTCATAATCACACTTCTCCAATAGCTCTTCCCTTTCGCTTACAACTCCATAACTTCCCAGAGGCAACAACGCTTACTTTGGCCCTACCAACTGAAATGGAGATGGATCAAAAGCACAGGCCACCTTCTCCTTCCTGAAGATCCAAATGGTCATAAAAAAGCCTACCCTGTCTAGAGAATTCCTGTCACTGCTGGTAAGAGAGGATTTCTCAAAGGGACAAGAGAAACCTGCAGCCAGCGACACCTGCAACCCTGCAATATTTTTACCATTCAGTAACTCCCACCCTATTTTCATTTAAATATTTTCCATCAGAGATCTATTCTGCAAGAGAGCAACAAAATGATTCACAGTATACCACATCAGTTGCTTACCTTAAACTTGTTTCGGTGGTTATCTGGGACAGTTTCTTTATCTGGACAGCTACAACAGCTACCCATGACTTCTTTAGAAGACCATGTGATCTCTAAAGGGGGAAAAAAACCACCACAAAATGATGATCAACAAAACAATCCAACACAAACTGATTTCTGAAATTACAATTCTTCGTGATGAATTCTGCAGTCATAAGAAATAAAACAATCAAAATAAATATAACAAAGATTTTTAAATAGTTAAGTTAGATTTGGCATTAAGGAGCAGTAACACTGAGCTGTTAAAGCCCTACCAATAATTCAACTTGAGGTTACTACCAAACAGACCCATTTGATTTGTCACCGTCACCTTAATTCCCATGGCAGCAGCTTGGCAGAAAACAAACCCCAACAACTTACTGGGTGCAATTCTCATCTCCTAAACCAGAGCCTTTACACAAGGCAACCACCTGGATTCCAGTTCGTTTAAAAGAGCACTCCCTGGCTCAGGCTGCCCAGCACAGCCCTAGCGACGCCCCTACAAGCCCTGGGCTGTAGGAGGTTACCAGGCGCAGGCAACACAAAGAGCCCACATGGCAATCCTGAAAGGCTGCCCTGGCTTCGACAGCTCCAGGGCTGGCTTGCAAGGCAGGGTGGAGGCGTTCCAGGCCTGGAGGCAGCCCTCTGCTGGCAGCCGTGCTGTGAGGCTCTGTGCTTCCACTTCTAAATACTTCCCATATAGCAATGCACATAAAACTATGTAACTGAAGTCAAGGGAAGGAAAAAAACCTACATTAAACACCAATATTTTAAAACTTGGGGGTTTTATTTCTATTAAGTTCTGTTTGGATTAAATTGTGTTACACTACTTCCTTTACTATAAAACAGCAAAATATGAAACTAACACAGAACAGCATGGCTAAATTAAGGGATTCAAAAACAAATATTTGGTATTTTTGGTATTTTCATTTCAAGATTTTTTTATATGTATGGTAAAACTTTCACAAAACTGTATGATAAAATGTTCACAGAACCAAGTCTCACAACTTGCTTCTCCTCCCTGTACCACCTTGCAGAGGGTGGCAAGTCTCGTATTTCTTAAATACAAAAAGTCAGACAAAAGAAACTTATCCAATATAAAGATGATGTAAATGGGCTAAGAACTAAAATTTCCACCACACAAATGAGAAGTGGGGCAAAATCCTGGAAGAGAGCTCGTAAGTCAACAAGAGATGTGACATTAGGAATCCAGAAGAAGGAAGACAGAACTGGTTGATAACTTTTTCTAACTAAAGCAGAACAAAATCTGATGTCACCTTAAGAAAAGCGAAACTTGCTTTCTAGACAGGCATTTGTATTAGCATGCAGTAGTAGTAGCCAAGCAACACTTTAGTCTGCTGAGAAATAAGGTGCAAGGAATACAATGAAGAACAGCTAACTCTTCCCCTCTTCTTGACCAGAAAAGCCACCCAGAAGAGATACTGCTACCCAGGAGACTGTATAAATCTGTATAAATCCGCTGCGAAACCCCTGCAGAGGTAAAATGGAAAACTTAACAGAAAGAGTAACAACATGGCTTGGATTAATCCAGTTAAAGAGACAGAGTGCCAGACAGTCAAAATCACAGATTCTCTAATGTCATTTCTGGCCATAATAGGAAAACATGCATTAATCTGACAGAGGTTTTTTCCCAACTCAGCATGAAACTGAAGGGTTGGTTGTTTGCTTCTTCTGTTGCAGAGAGAAGCTATGCTACGCACAACTGGTTTTCTGCATAGTGAATAGAAGTCCTGAATTTTATTAATCAGTCCAATCACTCTCTCAATTATAGACTACTTTTAACAGTCTTCACACATACATCCCACTGTTATTTAAGTATTCCTTTTTTTTTTTTTTTTTGCTTATGAATTCTGCCTGGTTTGTTTAGAAAAGGAGATAACATGTAATAAAACCTATTACTAATTTCCTACCTTGGCACCCCACAACGCCTCACTATAGTAATGTCAGATGTTGGTCTCGTTAGCCTACTGATGCAAACTTAAAAACCTTAACTGCAAAGTAGTTTGGGAAAAATCACTAGAGTTGCAAGTAGAAAGCTGTAGTATCTGAAGGTGTATGAAGTATAGACACTGTACTCAAGAACAACAAAGAAAAGGTATGTAATCAATAATACAAGCTTGTTATTTTGTCTCCAATATATTCTAATATTAATACCTCAGAAAACCAAGAACTGCAATGCTGCTTCAAACGAGAGATGTGAACCAAGGCTATGAGGAAAAAATGAAACAGCTAGGGAACTGGCAGAATTAAAAAAATCACTCACCTACATTTGGCCATTAATATTCCCAGCCTCTGCTGCAGCATCAGGGCTTCTGTCATACTCAAAGTGTCATGCTGTCTTGTCACAGAACTAATCATTTGACCTAGAACTAGAAGAATACATAAAAATGTAATTTTTCTTGTTTTTAAGATGCCAGTTAGGAACCTAAGAAGAACATATAGTTGGGGTTTTTTTTGACAGTATTATATCACATGAGGTCTTCATGGCTAGGATGCATCTTAGGCAGAGTTTTGGACAAGAGACTGATCCCTTAGAACTTGCCCAGCATTTCAGTGCCTAGCTGGGTCCTGGAAGAAAATAATCTGGTGTTCCTACACGGGCAGTGTAGCCTGTCACACGGGGGACTCCACTGATTTTCCACTCACTCCTTACCCAATTTAGTGTGTGGAAATGACAGATGCAAAGCTCTCGTTATCCTTAGCACATACCACACCAAACCACAGCAGACAAACAGACCACCACATACAACTTAACTCTGCTTTACTCCCTCGTGCTTATCCTACTGAACATATACAAATGCTGACTTGTATGGCTAACACACCATCCTTTCTCTGCTTCCCTCATGATTCTTACTCCATGACATCAACCATAAATTGCTTGCTTTCACTTCCCCCCTGCTCCCTGGATTACTCTCATCCTAGCTATCCACTCACATTTAACACAGAAAACTCAACTGCTGCTTCCATCAGGCTAACACTTGGCAGCCTCCATTCTCTGTTTGTAAAATTGCCAAATGAGCACTTCATGCTTCCTTTGATGCTGCTTCTTAAACTAAAGAGAACGGCTAAATTCTACACTTCTAATTTCATTTCTTCCTATGTCACTGCTTGCAACTGGAAGGAGAGAATTGTAGTGAAGGCATGTAGTGATAGAACAAGGGGTAATGGCTTTAAACGGAAAGAATGTAGATTTAGATTAGATCTAAGGAAGAAATTCTTCCCTCTGAGGGTGGTGAAATACTGGAACAGGTTACCCAGAGAAGTTGAGGATGCCCTATTCCTGGAAGTGTTAAAGGCCAGGCTGGTTGAGGCTTTCAGCAACCTGGTCTAGTGGAAGGGGTCCCTGCCAATGGCAGGGGGGGTGGAACTAGATGATCTTGAAGGTCCCTTCCAAAACTAACCATTCTATGCTTCTAAATTCTCAGAAAAAATACTTTATTATTATTAGCCTTTCTTATCAGCCTTTCAAGATGTCTATGCAAACTTGCTTGAGACCTTTGCAGCTCCACTTATCAATACTGCCATAGTTCTTTGTATTGGTCTGCTGTCCTCTGCCTTGCACCTGGATTAAAAGCAGAAACATGCTACTTGCACTGCTCAGCTTGGATAAAGAGACTATACAGGACAGAAATTATAGGTGACATGGAGAAGATAAATAAAGCACAACTATTTCCAAATGCAAGCATTAGCAAGCAGGGAGCAGCAGCTGACATTATTAAGGGGCAGGTTCAAAAAAAAACTAGACAGAAATACTTTTTGCACGTGGTATGTAGTTGAACTTTGTGATCCACAATGTCTTGTGGGACTGAGTTCCAAACATTTAAAGATTCATAAAGTAATTGGACAAATGCAAGCTCTATGAAGAGTGTTTAAACTCAAGGATGTCACATCTGGCTCAAAAAGCCTCTAAGCTGCAGATACTTAGAAGGGTCTTGGGAAATGATCATAAAATGTTCCTTCTCACTATTCTCCTCCTTATGTACGTACTGTTGGCAGTCAAAATTTACTGTCAGAAACAGCATACTGGACAAACCAATACTTCAAGTCTGACCCAATAAAACCATTCTGATTAACATAAAAGAATGACAGGGACTCAGCATAAATTTTTGAGTGCACTGTTGTAAGACATTTAGAAGAGAAATAATTAGCAATTTGTATTTAACTTGAAACTAAAACTTGGATTTCACAAATGTACAGAAGGATAAACTTTTGAACTGCTTGATAGATATGTATATTTGCATACACACACTAAACGTAAAGATTCCCTGCTGTGCATAAGTGGTATTTAGTATCAGGAACGTGCAGTAAGTCACATACCCTTCCAATAATTTATTTGCCCTTTAGCCATAAGCATTCTTGATCTTGGACAAAATTGCACACAGTTGTATTGAAGACCTATCCCTCTGCAACGTGCACCAGCTCTGGTTCTGTGATGGTCCTACCCAATCTAGCTGGTATTATTTAACTGTGTTTTTTGGTCAGGTTAGGTATTTGTTGGCTTAGCACACCAGCTCAGCAGAGAGTCTAGCAAGTGCTAGAGTCAGCTGAGGACAGAATCACAGCCTTAGTCACCTCTGCCCAGTATTCAGAAAACTTAGCCCTTTCACTAATTATTGGGATTTACTTCGTTTACCAAATTCCCTGCTAAAATCTTCAGGACAGGAGAAAGGAAACAGGGAGCAGAAAGCTTGACCCACACAGTCTGGTGGAATCTTACAGGTAGTCATTAGAAAAAATAATAAAATTAAAAATTTTCACAGGCAAGCTACACTAATGCAGGTGTGTTTGCACTGGTATTTACCCTGATATTTAAAGCCTTAATATGGTTTGGCTACTTAAGGCTGACTAGACCATTTCAGTTACTTAAGAATGATTCTTAAATTATCTAAACAGAGTTTTTAATGGATAAAAGAAAGCATACAAATTTACAGCACCTAACTTCTTTTAAATGTAAAACTGTAAGGAAATTCTCCAACCAGTTGTTTCCAATTACAAGTTGGCTATTTACTCTGTTTAGGCTTTTCTTAAATCTTCCCAGATTGCAAAACATTTACCCGAACTTAAACATACAAGACAAAGTAGGCATTTTCACAGTCACAACCCTAAAAGTTAATCTTTTCAGTTATGTCTACAATGTCAAATTTAGGAGCTGTAATTTCCCGTTCCTGAAGCATCAATGGTGGTTGGCTGCAGTCATGCAAGGAGGGGGAAGGGGCTGGAGAGTATTTTCTGCTTCTAACACATTCATTACTGCACTGCAAGTTAAAAATCACAGGCAAGAGAAAGCAGGACCAGCACTTATCTAAACCTTGTTAACAGAAGTGAAATTAAGGAACTGTCATAACTTCAGTAAGATTTATTCCTTGACTTTGTAAAGTAAAACATGTCTCTCTCCCTCATAGACTAAGCAGTGGCAAAAAGTTATGCTAATCTCTCAAAAGTCAAGGAAGACAAGGCATCGGTGTAAACATAGTAGATTAAAAAAGAAAAAAAAAGTAAGACAGTCAAAAGCTTGTAGAAATTCTAACATTTGCAATTCTGCAATCTCCCCAGGTAGGAAATGGTCTAAACAATGCGTGTGTTCCCCTTGTGTAAGAAAGGCCACATGGACAAGCTGCAGTTGTACTGCTTTCGCTTGTGAGAACTGGTCACCACATTAAAGTCAGCTCATGGTTGCAAAACTTATCTAAAAACTGGCATTAACCTAGCTCTGCGCGCTCTGGTTGCAGAATCAAACATTAACTTTGGGAGATAGTTTCTGTATGCATGAATTCCTAGCATACATCTTTGAAAAATCAGGGAAGGAAAAACCCCAAACCATAGCACACCTCAGAAGAGGTATGGAGAAGCAAAGGTGCCTTGTCTGTAAACCAATCTTTTGCACATATTCTTTTCAAATGAAAAAGTGGCCTTTCAAACCACTAGCTGCCACACCACTACATCCTCTGTAAGTCTTGCTCTCAGACCTACAAGTAGAGAGCAGAAAAGATAACTAAAGTGCATTAATGTAATTGTAAGGCATATTATACCACGAAATTTTAAGGATGTTGTTTTGGTATTATTTTTTTTTTTTTAAAAAAAAAGGAGTAGGGCTTTTTCCTCCTTCAGAAATTTTAGTATCTAGAAAGTCCAATGAATACAATGGATGAAGGTGCCTGTGTACAGTTTGTTAACACTCAGGCTGACAAGCATTTGAACCTATTCGTTCACATATTATCAAGCACTTGATAATATTTTGATCACAGCTACACGATACAAACACACATATATACTGTCATTTTTGTTTATAACATTCTAAATCACCCAATTTAGAAGACTACATCTACTTTTTAAATTTAAGTGTCAGCATCAGCCATTTTCAAAGACTGTTTCTTGTTTGGCCTACGCTATCTTAAAAAAAAAAAAAAAAAAAGACAATCTCAACCACTAGAACACCAAACTCCTCTGCACTTTTCTTTCCTACTCTTATTTAAAATATTTGCTTAAAAAGGTAGAATAAAAAAGTATTATCAAACTCTCTACATTGAACATCAATTTCTGTGGAAATAAAGCAGTTATGTTAAAAACCAAACCAACAGAAATGCTGCGAGTTTTGGAGGTATATTAAAATTGCAAACTCATTGACAGAAGGATAAATCAAAATCAGGAGTATTTCACCTTTTTCATTCATTTATTTAAACAATTCTATTTAGCATAGTAAGTAGAATAATACATTTCAAATTGTTAATTATTATTTTTTAAACTTGAAACTACCTGGCACTTCATATTTGTCTTCAATAACAACGCAAGGATGTAGCCTTCATAGTTTGAATTCTGCCACTTCCTAAAATACATTTCTTAAAATGGGTTCCATAACCGTTGTAAAGTGTTAGCCATGGTTTACCTAAACTTGAAACGTTAGCGACTATGCTTTATACCAACACCGAAATCAATCATTATAATTCAGAAATCTCAAAAAATTAAATTAATCTAAGATTTTTTTCAGCTGCACTGGCACTGTAATACTTAAGCATTTCAGAACTACAGAATTGGGTTCTCACAGCTGTTTACTATCAAAGAACAAACAAAAAGCCTATATTCAATTTCAAGTTTTAACAACACACTCTTTAAATGCAAGTTATATGAATGGTTTCTACACCTGCTTCTTTCTTAACTTCATAATTAATGCGCGAATCAATCAAGTAAACAAAAAAAATGGCATGAATTGTACTTGACAGCTTCAAGAGAAATGCGTAAGATTTTTAAAGGAAAAATCCCAGTACTTGGGAGGAGAGTGGAAGGAACAAACAATGTAGTGGTTGTTGTCTGTATCAAAGCTAGGAAGGTTTCAGTATCATAGCTGCCTTGGTGAGATAAATTGACATTACTG